TCCATCCACCCACCCATCCATCCATCTCAATCCACCCTTCTATCCACCCATCCATTCCTCTGTCCACCCCTCCTCCACCCATATACTCCTCTATCCACCCCTCCACCCCCCATGTATCCACCCACCCCTCCAGGCTTCCATCCACCCACCCATCCATCCATCTCAATCCATCCTTCTATCCACCCATCCATTCCTCTGTCCACCCCTCCTCCACCCATGTACTCCTCTATCACCCCTCCACCCCCCATGCATCCACCCACCCCTCCAGGCTTCCATCCACCCACCCATCCATCCATCTCAATCCAACCTTCTATTCACCCACCCATCCACTCCTCTATCCACTCCTCTCCACCCACCCCTCCAGGCATCCATCCACTCGTCCATCCTTCCATCTCAATCAATCCTTTTATCCACCCATCCATTCCTCTGCCCACCCCTCCTCCACCCATCCATCCCTCTATCCACCCATACACTCCTCTATCCACCCCTCCAGCCCCCATGCATCCATCCACCCCTCCAGGCATCCATCCATCCACCCATCCATCCATCTCTATCCTTTGATCCCTCTAACCACCACCCATCCTTCCCCCATCTCATCCATCTATCCCTCTGTCCACCCCTTCATCTCTCTATCCACCCATCCACTCTTCCACCCACCCCTCCAGGCATCCATCCACCCGCCCATCCATCTCTATCTATCCTTCTATCCACCCATCCATTCTAACCACCCCTCCTCCACCCATCCATCCTCCATCCATCTATCCCTCTATCCACCTATCCACTCTATCCATCCCTCCACCCACCCATCTCTATTGATTCATTCCCGTATCCACCCACCCACTCCTCTATCCATCCATCCATCCTTCCATCCATGCTTCCATCCATCCATCCATTCTTCCATCCATCCATCCTTCTATCCATCCATCCATCCATCCATCCTTCCATCCATCCATCCTTCTATCCATCCATCCATCCATCCTTCCATCCATCCATCCATCCTTCTATCCATCCATCCATCCATCCTTCCATCCATCCATCCATCCTTCTATCCATCCATCCATCCATCCATTCCTCTGTGCACATCTATCCATCCATCCATCCTTCTATCCATCCATCCATCCATCCATTCCTCTGTGCACATCTCCATCCATCCATTTATCTACCCGCCATACCTCTATCCACTCTTCCTCTCCTCTGTCCACTCCATCCATCCTTCCTTCCATCCATACACCCACACATCCCTCTATCCACCCCTCCATCCGTCCATCTCTATCCAACCATTCTCTATCCATTTGTCCATCTTTCCATGCATCCGTCCTTCTGTCCATACACTCACCTCTCTAACCATCCACCTCTTCCCCCTTCCTTTTCCCTACAAGCCCCATGTCCTGGGGGGCTGACTCCAAGTGGGGGTGCTGCTTGCAGGCTCATGCCTTAGTGAACTGGAGACCAGCAGAGAAAGGCCTGATAGCCAGACCTCAGGGCTGCCACGGATGGCTGGTGCAGCCTCCACCACAGGCTGAGGACAGGAATGTCATACTCTCCAAGGGCATAGGGCTCCTCCCAGGAGCCAGGCAGGGGCCAGGCCTTTCTTTGGACTGTGCAGAGGGTGCACCCCCAGGCCTGGTGAGTGACCCTTTTCCACACAGGTTCAGAGAGGGCTCTCAGAGGAAGGTGTCAAAGCCCAGCCTTGCAGGATGATGGAGGGAGAGCTTGGGGAGGCTGCACCCTGGGCAGCTGGAACCAGGGGGCAGTGAGGGCAGGCCTTGGACATCCTTTTGTCAAAGTGGACATGTTGGGTTTGGATACATCTAAGTTACTCTGTAATAAAAGTCGTTTAGGCTGTCCAGAGGTCTGTGACAGTTTTTTTTCTGTCATCAAGTGATGTTGTGTCTCAGGACATCCCACCTGCCTGGTGACATGATGCCCAGTGGCCAGCCCAGCCCGAGTGGGGACCCTCTGTCCACTAATCATTTTCTAAGCCGCAAGAGCCTGGGGGCAGCCATACATTGTGGTCTCTAGGGGTCCTGGTGTTCTGGTCTGAGGCCCAAGGTCTGTGCTATCACACCACCCCTCCACTGGCAAGCAGGGCCCAGGGAGAGGGTCAGGAGGTAGCTGGGTGCTCCTCTGGGACACAGGCCTGCCCTCTGCCTTCACTTCCCACAGCTGACCAAGCCCACCATGCTCTGGGCCTCACCCTTCCACACCCTGGATCCCAAAGAGCCCTCATGAACACCGACAGGAGAGAAGGAGGGGCCAGCATCGAGGCAGGCACTCTAAAAGCCCTGCCCCATGGCCCTTCCCTCCAGCTACCTCGGACAGCCTGAAAGCAGCGAGGGAAGTCCCAGACCCTGGGGGTGACCTTGTGTTCTTCCTGTGCAATGGTGGACCTCCAGGCACTGCCACAGCTCGGGAGGGGGGTCCCGCCAGCCCTGCTCCTCCCTCCATGGAGCTGGCCCTGGGAGGGCAGGCAGGTGGCAGTGCCCCCTGCACTGGAGGCAGCAGCCCCTCAGACTCTGTGCTTGCAGCCCAGCCTTGGATGGGAAACAACACACCTTGCATGGGGCAGGGGCCCACTCAGTTCCCCAGACAGTGACTAATGACCCAAGCTCAGCCACTCATTGGAAACTTTCTTGATTCAGAGAAACACGCGTCACCCTCAGCCGGAAAATCTCTTACAATGATTGAAGTACCCCCAACCACAACCACACAACAGGGAGTGCAGTGGCGGAGTCCTGGGCTTCTAGGGGCTGGTCATGGCTCCCTGACTCAGTTTCCCTTGTGGGGAGAAAGTACCAGAGACCTGTGACCTCCCCGCTCTCCCTAGGCCTGGCTCCCATCGGGTTTATGCAGTGAGGTACAGACCCTCAGTAACCGTGTCCTGGGCCTTGCTCCCCTTAATCCCTCCCATGTCACCTCCCGTTTCCTGTTACTGCCAAGCTCCAGGACCTGAGGCAGGAGGACAACCCATCCAGCCTGCCAGGCCATGCTGGCAGGAACTACTGGTGGGGGAGTCTGGTCATGCTCAGTGGCACCCCCAAGAGCTAAAAGGGACTCTGGGGGGTGGCCAGGCCCTGATGGGGGAGGTACACTCCCACTGCCCAGCCCCAAACCCCATAGCCAGGCCCTGACCCGCAGGGCCCCAGGCTCACCAGCGCCTCCTCTTCTAACCAGGCTGATGGTCAGTTTCTTCCCCTCCAGAGAGACCCAGCTTCCCACAGCCTGTTTCTCTGGGGGACAAGGGGAGGACCTGCAGCCTGAGGATTCTCGCCAAGATTCCTGCCTCCCATTTTTTTTTTTTTTTTTTTTTGAGACAGAGTCTCCATCTGTCTTCCAGGCTGGAGTACAATGGCCTGATCTCCACTCACTGCATCCTCTGCCTCCCCGGTTCAAGAGTGACTCTCCTGCCTCAGTCTCCCCAGTAGATGGGACTACAGGGACCCGCCATCATGCCTAGCTAATTGTTGTATTTTTTTGGGGACGGGGTTTCACTATGTTGACCAGGCCGGTCTTGAACTCCTGACCTCAGGTGATCTGCCCGCTTTGGCCTCCCAAAGTGCTGGGATTACAGGTGTGAGCCACTGCGCCCGGCCCAACTCCCATTTTCTTGGAAGAAACTGAGGCATGAGGAGCCTGAGAAAGTTACTTGAGGTCACGACAGCACATCAGAGGCAGGGTGCAGGGTGAGGGTGAGCAGAAGTCAAGGGACCAGAAACTTCTTCCACCTGCTATCTCCGAGAGAGCAGTCTCCCTGTCCCCCTCTTGCCACAGTCTCCCCGGGATAAGGCGAGGGTGTCAGGGGCCTGGGTCCCCACTTGTGACCCCACCAGGTTGCTCCTGGGGAAGGCTGTGCAGCCCAGGAGACTGGCAGATCTCAGCCCGTCCCGGAGCTGCCCCGCCGCCTGGTGGCTGCTCAGCGCCCGCCCGCCCACCTGGCCCACGCTCCAGGGCCTCCGACCTCCAGCTCCCCGCCTGCGCCCGGGAACGCGCTGAGGGTAGCAGAAGTCAAGACGGCAGTCAGGAGGTGCTGTTCCCCGCAACCTCGGCTCCAGCGCTCGGGGCCGCTTCTCTCCCGGGTGCAGTCGGCTCTGCGCCGGGACCCTCAGCACGCCGTCCTCTGACGAGGCTCCCTCGGCCACAGTCCCCTCCCCTCCATCAGACGCGCTGCGGGTCCGGAGCCTCGGTTTCCCGAGCAGGGAAATGGGCGTGCTGTGCCCACGGGGGCAGGAAGGAGCAGGAGGCCCGCCCTCGGGGCCTGGAGGATTCGCGTGGCCTCCGCGGTCCAAGAGAACCCCTCTCCCCTCGCGGTCCCCGGGATTCAATTCCCCAGTCCCCCAGCCCCGGTCTAGAACTGGAGCCTCGCAGCTCCCCGCCCATCGGTCCAGAGTTCCCTGTCCCCTCCCCCCAGACCCGGAACCACCCGGTCCGCTCCGCGCCTCTCCGACCCTCGCCGGAGCATTCCTGCCCGCCCCGTCCCAACCTCCGCCCCCTGCCGGAGGCTCCCCGGCCCTTCCCGCCCAGCGGGGCAGGCTCGCGGCGGCGGCACCCACACCCACCCTCACGCCGCCGCGGGCTGCAGCGCGCCTGGGCCTGTCTGGGCCGCTGGCGGAGCGGCGGCGAGGCGGGCCTGGGGCGGGCCTGGGGCGGGCGGGGAGGCTGCGTCTGCGCGGCCCGCGGGGCCTGCGCCGAGGCTGGAGCGAGCCCAGGCAGGCCGGGGCGCTGGCGCGGGGCGAGCCGGCGGGGGCGGGAGAGCTGGCCCCGCGCTGGGGTTCCTGGGTCTCTGCACGCACGCGCGCTTCCCAGGCGCATCGCCCTCGGCCTCACCTCTGCCTCTTATTTGCAAAATCACCCCGAGGTGGGTGATGCTACTGTTCCCACTTTTCAGGTGCGAAAGTCCAGACACAACTGAAATTAGCATCCAGGCTCCACATGCCACCCGTCCTCACGCAGAGATTTGCACAGAAACAAGCGCCATTCCTGACCTTGGGGACGTCGCCGAGTCCGTCGGCAGGCAGGGCAGGGAGGTGCTGAGAATTATTCGAGTGCACGTGTCAGCACCCGGTGCCCCAGGGCTCCCCTCCCCATGGAGCCCTCCCTCAGCCCCCTCCCCGGAGAAATGGCTGGCTCTCTGGAAGGAGATCGAGAGGGGACCGGCTCCCGCCAGGGCCTCTCTTCTGGGAATGGGGAGGTGGGCGGAGGAGAGGGGTTCCTGGGCCACCAACCCCGTCCCAGGCCCTGGGAGCCGCCCCCCGCCCCTCGGGAATCTAGCTGTCTTCGCCAAACCACCCGCTGGCCGTGGCGGAGGGCTGGGGGCGGGGGCGAAGCCGAGCGCGCTGACACACGCGCCTGGAATTCCCAGGAGAGCCGGCCGAGGCCCTTGACCCCCTCCGCTCTGGGCCAGCCTCAACCAGCGGGGCCGAGGGGAGGACAGGCTCCCCCCAGGGAGGTGGGGCGCACACTCACCTCGTTCCTCCCGCTGGAGCCGGCCCTGTCCCTGTGCCTGCATCGCAACAGAAGTACCCTCTGTGCTCGGGACCCAGGCAGATGTGACCTCCCCTCACCCCACAACCACCAGAGACAGCCCAGGGCAGACCCTGCCCAGCTCCTTCCCCAGGGCCTTGAGCACATTACCAAATGCTCTGTGCTTCAATTCAGTTTCCCCATCTCGGCAAAGGGCACTAACGGCCATCTCAGAATGGTTCCTTGAGAGTCAAAGAGTCTGGAACAGTGTCTTGTAAATGTTGTTACAATTGCCTGGAAGGTAAACTGAGAGCCAGAGACTCTGACACCATAGAGCCACCCGCTCCCCACTCCGTTCCCCCGCCCCCACTGCTCCTCACACAGTGTCCCCCAGCATCATGCCCTGGGTTTCGGAGGTGCAGAGGGTGCCCAGCTAGGAGCTTGGGGAGGCTCACACATTCACACTGGTGTGAGGGGCGTGCATGTCACGTCCAGCAGTGTGCTGTGTGCCCCTCCACGTGCGAAGGTATGTGCCTGTGCATGAGTGCTGGTGTGAACACGTGTGTGCCCTGTGCTCATGCAGGGTGCAGTGTGTGTGTGTGCTGGCATTGGGGTGTGCTGGGCATACTGTGGCCAATCCACTCCTCGGGTGTGGTGTTGTGTAAACAGTGGAGGTCTCAGATGCCAGCCCTGGGGGGACACTGGGCCCCCTCCCTCAGGTTTGGCTGGCCCAGCTTGTCCCCTCTCTGATCAGCCCTTGCCAAGGAGTGCTTTGCCATCTGGGGGCTAGAGGGAGTGTGGCAGGCTCAGCGCCCTGCAAGGGCAGGCCTGTGCCCTGACAGCAGATGGTCCCCGGCTCACCCTTCAGGCCAAGAAGTCCCCCAGCTCAGGTGACAGCAGAGCCCGAGAAGGGGGGCTAGCCACATCAGCCATCCCCAGGGATCCCCCAACCCCTGATGGCGCTGGGCACTCAGGATGGGGCACTCTGCAGGAGCCCTAAGAACTGATAGTCCAGGGAGGTGGGGTCCTGTGTGCAGACACACTGCAGGGCCAGGGGACACTTGCTGCAGAACCAAGAATCCCAGGGTGCATGGAGCTCCCTGCCCAGGTTGCTGGTGAGTAGGCCCGGCTGCCCCTCCCTGATCAGGCTTAAGCCTGCTTCTCAGAACCCCCACACACAACCCACTGCCCTCACAGCAGGGTAGCAGACGGAGCGGGGGGCCACAAACTGATGAACTGAGACCTGTCTTTTCACTCTGTGCCCAGAGACCAGGCAGATGGCTTCCCACCCGGACCCAGAGCCCAAAGGGGTCCCATGGGCTGGCCCACCCCACCACATCTCCGTATGACCTCCACCCTGCATGGCTTCTGCAGGCTGGGGATGCCCCTCTCCTGATGTGGGGGGCTGGGGTGGGTGAGCCAGGGCCCCCACCCACCCCTAGCCTTGTCCCTTCTGCCCCAGGTTCCTCAGCACCTGCCTGTCACAGCCTGCGGACTGACAAGGAGCCCATCCTGTGGGAGGCCAGCTGGTGGCCAGGATGGAAGCTCCTCATTCATTCATTCACTTCTCCAGCAAACAATCCCTGTGGCTACCCCGTGCCAGACCTGGCCTGATGCCTGGATGTGTGCGACAGGAATGATCAGGGTCAAGTAGTGTGGGCCTCTGAGGGTCATGGAGAGGGCAGGGTGGCCTCTAGAAGCACCCAGGGTGCAGGTCTGAAGAGGGATGGGCTCAGCTGGCCATGGCTGTCACCAACACACGGACATCTTGGGACTGGCCTCCGCTTCCCCCAGCCTGGCTGCCCACAGTCCCCACCCCAGCAGTGGGCAGTGGGTGGTCACCTGCCCTAGGCCTGCTTCCCCTGCCGCCATCCTCCAGGGGACGGTGTCCCGGGGCTCTGATGGCCTTCAACTGCCACAGGATCCCTCCCAAGGTCCTGACGTGCAGCCTCCCCTGCAGCCTCCTGGTGGGACCAGTGTCCTCCCCAGGCCCTTCATGCATGGACCAGTCCCCAGGGACACTGCTCCAAGCCAGCAGCCTGTGGCCCTCCCAGCGCCTGCTCCCAGGCTTGTCCTCTCCCCGACCTTCCCCTTCTTCAGATCCTATCACCCAAGGGCAGAGACAGGCACCATCGCACCACCAGGGGGCGCCCTGCCTCAGGTGTGGGCTTAGGATGCAGCAGTGTTGCTTATCTGGGAGGCCAGGGGCTGGGGACAGAAGAGGCTAACCGACCCCTGGCCGGCACCTTCTGGGCTTCAGGACAACTCGATCAGGTGGTCCCTGTGAGTCCACTCCCCAGATATGGAAACAGGCCAGAGAGCGGGATGCCACCAGCCCTGGCTCTTGGAAGTGGGAGGTCTGGGTCTCCAAGATGTCACCAAGCCCACCAACATGCTGGGTGGCTTTGGGAAAGTCATCTGACCTCTCTGAGCCTCCATTTCCCCACCTGTAGAGTGGGGGTGGGAAGGCATCATTGCTGGAGCTGAGCAGGGGACTACAAAACAGAGCTTAGTAGCCCTGTCTCCAGCAGGCACCTGGCTGGTCTCCAGCCCCTGGGAGCAGGGAGCCACCCCACCCAGCACGGGCACCTAAAGGCTGCTGTCTCCACCAGCAGGTGACCCTGCACCCATCGGTGGGGTCCACAAGGCCAACTCAGCCCTGCTCCAGCCAGCTGGGGACAAACCCTTCTGGGGAGGGTTTGGGCTGTGGCCGGGATGGGGAAGCTGCCTTTCTGCTTTCTGCTGTGTGTGTGAGCACATCTGTGTGTGCCAGGGCCTGGGCCCGGTGTGACCCCTAGCAGGGATGCCCCAGTTGTCAGACTCTCCTTCTTGTGGCCCCTGCTGTCCCCAGATGGAGGCAGAGTCCCCCAGCTCAGAGTGCCCTGGGGGTCGGGCATGCCCACTGCTTTGAGCCACAGAGACCCAGGCCCCAACCTCCTCAGGACCCCAGGGCCTCCTGGGCCATCAGGGTGGAACCCCCCCTCCTGGCAAGGTGGAACCCTGTTTGGCAGCTGAGGCCCTGGTGCCTGAGGCCATCAAGCGAGGTCAGAAGGGGCAAAGGCCACGGCTCAGCTGGGAGGAGGGTGCTGCCCGCTCTGTTCAGGCAGTGGGCCAGGTGCCAGCAGCACCACGTTCCCACGCTCTGTGGTGCCAATCTTGGCACCCCAGCCCTGCCCCACCCTTGCCTTGCGGGGACCAGGGCACCCGGAATGTGGCTGTGGATTCCGTCCCCTGGGGCCACGGATTCCTGTCTCAGTGGGCGAGGGCGGAGGACGGCTTTCCACCCTTTGATCCTTGCCAGCTCAGTGAGCCAGGCCACGCCCAGGCCCCCGCCAGCCAGGCCACAGAGGAGACCAGGAGGCAGGCCCAGGCAAGACAGGACTGACTCCCCCAGCTCGGGAACCCTAGCTCCCAGGGCCTGGGCCTTCTCCCCAGGTGCCCCAGAAGCTCCTGCTTCACTTGCTATCTGGGTCCAGGGCCTGGTGCCCAGGCTAATCGGGCAGAGAAGACCAGCACTGGGCAGTGACCCATTCCCCACCTTCAGCATGAGATGGCCACAGCAGCCCCTTCCCTCACCTCCCCAGTCTGCCCCAGGGCACAGAGTCCCAGCTCCTCTCTGCCAGTCTCACCTCACCCGCTCGCCCTCCTGCCCTAGCACCCCCCATTCTGCAGCCACAACTGCCCCACTCGGAGACTCCTCCAAGGTTCCTGGTACTGGTCAGGACATCAGCCTGCTCGGCATCAGGACAGACCCCAGAATGTCCTGGGCTTCTGACCACAAAGGAGCCAGCACAGGCTGCATGCTGGCCCAAAGCTCAGAACTCAACCCTAACGCGCTTGCCTCCTGCTCCCCCAGCCACTGGAGCCACTGACAGCTGCACACCTCCGTGGGTCCCCAACCCGTATTCAAGCACCACTGAGCACCCCAACCAGTGGACAAGGGGATGAGGGCTCGCACAGGAAACAGGGGCACCCTCTGAGTCTGGGAGACGGGAGGGGAGTCTCAAAATCCCACGTGGGAGGGGCCCAGCGCCAGGTGTCCAGAGAAAGGAGAGGCCCACAGAGGGGTCTCGCCTGGGCTCCTGAGAGGCAGGAGGATGGCCCCCCTCTGCCAGCCATCCTGATCTGCTAAGTGGAAATTACAGTCATTAGCGGCCCCTCCCTGCTGTCCGGTAGGCTTGGGACTTGCCCCATCCCCTCTGCCACATGTGGCCCAGGGAGAAGGTGCTAAAGGTGGGCGCGCCCTGCAGGGTGAGGCAAAGCCACGGAGTCACCTGGCGTGCAGGGAGCCCTGGAGGGTGGGATCCCTGGGACCCAGCCCTGCGCTCCTACCCACTTGACCCGGCGGGCACCCTCCTTCCTGGTGGGTCCTTACTCCCAGCCTCGCCATGAGATTGCCAGGGCTTAGGGGGGGCTTTCCAATGGGGCGCCTTCTTATGCAGACATAGGAGAGGGGAGTGGCCAGGTTGGGTCCTCAAGGTGCCCAGACTGGGGGGCGTGTAGATGAGGAGGCACGTGCACACTGGGGCTGCCGCGCTCCCTGGAGGAGGGGGCCCGGGAGCTCCCTGGATCCAAGAGTGGATTCCGGAGCAGAGCCTCCGCGGGTGGAGAAAGCGAGTATGGCGGGGGCTACGGGGGTCCTAGTCCTGGCACGCGGCTGCGCACCCCCGCTCCCCTGCACCGCGGGCGGGGCTGGGGCCGGAAACGCGCGCGGCGGCGGCGGCGGATTCCTGCGCGGTGGGACAAGCCCGCGCCTGCGCGCCGCCCGGACAGGGCACGTCGCCCGCGCGGGGGGTGGCAGGCCTGGGAGGAGGGGACCCTGACCCCCCTCACCGCCTGCCGGGGCGGGCCGCGGGGCTGGACGGGGGCGGCGCGGGGCGGGGGGCGGCAGAAGGCGCCTTTGTGTGCCGCGTCCCCGAGCGTGTCGCGGCGGGCCCGGCACCGGCCGCGCTCCAGCGCCCGCCCCCGACCCCGCGCATACCTGGCGAGGCCGCGAGGGGGTTCAGCGGGCCGAGCCCCGCCTGGGCTGCGCCGCCGCAGGCGGGAGGGGCTGAGGACCCTCTCGGGAGGCCCCTCCGACGGCTGTAACCCCGGGGCCGTGCCCCCCTCCTGACCACCGTAGGCATGGACCCCCAGCACGCTGCGGGTGGGACCGGCAGGGACCCTGGAGGGTGGCTTGGCTGGCCTGTGGTTGGGAGTGAAGTCCCGGGGTTTGGTCCCCTGAGGGGTTGGTTGGACGTCCCAGAGCAGGTGGCGGCCACCGCGATGACCACAGCGAGTGGCCGATCGGGGTCCCTGCTGAGCCCGGGAGAGCTGTCGCGGAGGGTCCAGTCTAAGCTCCGGGAGCGAGGGGGGAGGGCAGAGCCGCAGAAGTGTGGGCGACCTGCGTGGTCCGAGAGGCCCCAAGTTTCCCGGCAGGGCGGGGACGGCTGGGGCGGGGCCAGAGCAGAAGCCACGTGGAGAGGGCCTGGGAGGGTGCGCTAGGAGCCTTGCCTCAGAGTCTGCCTCCAACCCTCTCTCCAACCCCCACCCCATTCATTCCTGTAACAAATCCCTCCCGGGAGCTGGCACAGCAGTGCGCAGGGACACACGAGATACTCACTCTCCGTGCCGTCCAGGAGCTTGGACTCAGCCGGGACTCTGCAGGGGTCAGCAGGAGCAGGGCCGAGGGCCCTGGTGGGAAAGTCTTCCCACTAGGGAAGCCTGGGCCCCTGGGATCAGGTGGAGGGCTGGCTGGGCTGCCAGTTGTTTCCTCTCAGCCTGGAGCAAGGCCACCACTTCCAGCGCCTGGCCTCCTCACTCCCGAAAGCTCAGCTCAACCTACACGTGCCGACCCTCTGTCCCCAGGGCCCAGGCTGGACACTGGTCAGAACAGTGCTCCCAGAGGGAGCCAGTAACAGAAGGAGCTAGGGTGAGAGCATGAGGGTGGGGAGGGGCAGAGAGGAGAGAGGGCAGGAGGTGCTCAGGGCAGGAGTGTCTGGAGTGGGTCTGGTCCAGAACAGGAAGGGCATTTCAGGCAGAGGGGACAAAGAAGCCAAGGTACACCAGGGAGAAACACCTGCTGTGTTCCCCCGCAGTGGAGGTGCAAACCTCAGGATGGAAGATGAGGCTGGAGGAAGAGTCCTGGGCTGGAGCATGGCCAGGAGGGCAGTGGGGAGCCATGGGGATGTTTGAGCAGGGGAGTGACTGGGCCAGGTTTGAGTTTTGGAAGGATCACATCTTAAGCCATTAAACAGATTTCTAGGATTTTCGGTTCCTTCATTTATTTACTTATTTACTTTGAGACAGACTCTCACTCTGTCACCCTGGCTGGAGTACAGTGGTGCGATCTCTGCTCACTGCAATCACTTGAGGCCAAGTGATTCTCATGCCTTATCCTCCCAAGTAGCTAGGATTACAGGTGTGCACCACCATGCCCAGCTAATTTTTTAATTTTTAGTAGAGACAGGGTTTTGCCATGTTGGCCAGGGTAGTCTTGAACTCCTGGCCTCGTGATCCACCCATCTTGCCATCCTGAAGTGCTGGGATTACAGGTGTGAGCCATTGTGCCCAGCGAATTTTGGATACTTCTTCTTT